TTAGGGTTGCTTGGAGCAAGCAGCGGCAAGGCAAGGAGGAGAGATGGAATCTTCTGAAGATTTGACGACTACGAATTTACTAATCTCAAATGTCTTCTCGTTGAATCGACAAGAATTAGTTAGCACGAACTAGAACTCACAAAGAGATCTAGTCTTCTCCGGCGAACTCACTAAGAGATCGAGGAGGGTGAGAACTCACCAGAGGATCTTCTTGAACTCACAAGGAACACATAGTAGTAAATTCATTTATCCAAAACTACTATTACATGAGAAAGGCATATAAATAGGCCTCACAATGTCAAAGAAAAAAAAGACTAAATGCCCTTGGGCTACATAGCTATCAATACCCATAAAGGCAAAAACGGAAAAACATAAAGTAAAAATAAACCTACTACATAAGATGATGAAAATACAACTCATGCTCGTGGCCGTCGATCTCCGGCGTCGAAAATGCTGACGATGTCCTCATCATGGGCTCTTTCCGTGGCCGTGCCCCCTTGTTCCCGCTCGGCCTCCTTGGCTCCCGCGCTCCTACCTTTCGGTTTCTTGGCTTGGGATTTATTTTAGGTGTTTTAATGTTGTGATGTTTAGGTTCTTGTGAGAATTAATGTAATGTGTCTCTTTGTATTCCCTTTCATACCTATATATATGGGGGATTGTTTATGTTTGAAGTATGATGTTATGAAAATGTTATTTTTGGATAAGCTATAACCTGCGGGTTTGCTTTGGAAATCCTGGGGCTCTTTCCACCCTTTTTCTCATCCCCTCCGGAATCCTGCGGGCTCTTTCCAACCTTTCTTCTCGGGCTTCTAACCTCTTTGTCTCTCCAAGTGGTCACTCCACTGTTTCCTTCTCTCCAAGTGCAGCAACTTTAGGATGTCGTTTTATTTTATTTGGAGTCGTTTGTAAGAGTTTAAGTTGTTGAAATCATCGTTTGTAGTTTTAATTTCCGCTGCTTAGTCTTATTTAAGTTACCTCTTTCTTTTTTGATGATTTTGTGTCTTCTTTAGTAGGAGATCCGTTTGTCTTTGTGATCAAAAGATATAGGTCCCCTATATTTTTTGCTCGCATCACGTAGTTGATGATTGTTTAGCCAAAACACCAAATAGCCAAGGTTTTATTTTTGTCCAAGAATAATGATACATATTATGCTTTTAGATGTTTTCAAAAATAAACTATGCCAAGAAGGTCTATCATGTCAATTCCATTCATAGCGATCATGATAGTGAATTTGTAAAACGTAAATGTATATAACAAAATTTTGTGATAAATTTGATATTGATCTTAATTTTTTGGTTGCACGCACGCCTCAATAAAATTG